GTTCACAAATCTGTCTAAATCTGTGTTAGGGGGCACTTCCTCTTTGCAGAGATAATCCGTCCCACCTGGCAGGTGTGGCATATCAAGATGCTGGTTAGACAGCATGATTATTGCACAGGTATGCCTTAAGATGGCCACAATAAAAGGCCAGTGTTTTGATAACTTCCTGTCTCAAGTTATGACTGAATTTGTATTCATATTGATTTTTATCCATCTTTTTACAGGCTGGTTAGGGATGTTTTGACTGAGCCAAATTGTTACACGTCTCTCCTCATGTTGTGCAGCTAGCACCTTCCTTTCTCAAGTTATGACTAAAATTAATCTCTGTGTTTACAAAATATAAGTGCTTCCTGCCTGATTCGACCAAGCTGCCCACCAGCTTCTTCAAACCTCACCAACTGGGCCAACTATGGCCACAAATGTCAAACAGACCAATCGTGTCTTGGTCCATTTCCTCCCACGAAGTAAGAAATTCCTCCTTAGTGACTGCAGAGACCCCCTTCTCAGGTTTAGAGCTTCTAGTTTATCTTTTAAGATCTGCGATCAAACTAAAGTTATGAAAAGAGTTCAGACCAGGAAACAACACACTAACTGGCATGACAGGAAGTGGGCRACGTGCATTCCCTCAAAGAAGTACCAGGCCTTTAATTTTGTCAGACTTTAACATGTTTCAGAAAATAAAAAATGTTAGCTCAGTGTAGCTCAGCTCAACAACGGGAAGTTAAACAGATGTGTTATCTTTAGTTACATGCCTGGACAGTTCTCAGCTCTGAATGGAACCCATGACCCCCCCCCCACACACACACACACACACACACACACACACTTCACAGTCCCCCTACCTGTTTCAGGGTTCACCAGGGTTCTCTGGCTGGTTCAGAAGTTAGTTGTTGAGTTGAGTGCAGATTCTGCAGCACTTCTGTATCAGATGGCAGAGGACAGAAGTTTCCTTCGCTCCCACTGCATGAAAATCTCTGCCATGGGATCTTGTTTCTGGGCCAGTCCCACCCAGATGGAGCAGTGGGACCCTCCAGGTCCTAAAGCCTGAAACTGGGTTTCAGAGAGTCCTGGGCAGAGAAGGCCCTGGCTGCTGCCTGCTTCCATCAGTGACTCATCATTACAGTAGCTAAAACAAYAAAAAGTTTCCACTCAGGGCTTCATTCGGTTTAAAAATATTTTTTATGCTTTTATTTTGCACATATTGTTTTCATTAATCTCAGATCTTTAGTCTTCTTGTCTAACACACAGCACAGTTTCTGTTCCTGCTCAGTCCTGCAGAGCCTGCATATATGAATCAAAGTAAATTCTAGTTTGTTTCTGTAAATTTATTATGTAGAGCTGTGTGTGGTTGTCTGGTATATTCAAAGTTGTTACATGAAGTTACACTTCCTGGATACACTGTTGCAGGCATGTCCCACTGGGACGAAATCCCGGGTCAGATCCAGAACTTGCTGGAGGTTTTTATATTTCCTCTCTGGCTTTGGGACACCTTCAGATCCTCCAGGAGGAGCTAATGTTGGCCGGGTCTCCCTCCTGGACCTGTTGCTCCAGCAATTTGTTCACAGATAAGTGGAGACAATTTGGGCCTCATGCAAGAACATGTTTGTATTTTTATCCTAAATTTCTCTTACTTTTGTTCGTACAAAGGGTTCGTACGAACATGTCACGTCAG